CGTTCAGATAATCGCATAATAGATAGTTCTTTCTGTATACTTTTCGGAATTTATATGTCCGAATTTATATTCACGTATCACTCTCGAACGTTACATTTATTTACATCTTGATAATCTGTGTTGTAGTACAAGTATTGATTCTTGAAATTTAGACACTTTTATCATTCATGATATTGTTCATGCACCTAATATAAACTTACATGATTCTGATCGAAACAGAAAGGATAATTTGGAATAAGTAATAACGAATAATTGGTTAAGAAGTCGCTTTTAATAGATTCGTTCTAAAAAAAATATCAAAAGAATTTTAGAGAGGTTAATAATATTGTCGCGGCATTAAGCATATATGATGCCACTTTACGTCGTCGGTTTTGTTATTTAACTTACAGAACAAAATATCTTCTCTTGGAGTTGGATTCCTCCTCTTAGAATCAACAACCTTGAAATGGTTAAGTGTTGAAATAAAACCGACAAGCCGGATACCAAAACGACGGATCGATACTAAACCGGCAAGCCGAAGATTAACCGGCGGTTCGTCGGTTTTTTATTAGAATGAACCGATCAGAAGTAATGAAGAGCAAGCCCAAGACAGGCCCAAAGACTCCAGCCGACATAAGGACCAGCCGATTTAGAACCTTCCGCGGATAAAGAAAAATCACTAAAGAAAAAGAAGTTTTCTTTATTGTTTTGGGTTTAGCCATTATTACACTAGTATATATATTTTTGTACATCCTAAAAGAGGGGGAACCGAAAATGAATAACAAAAACTCTTGTAACAGTTTTCTTGATAGCTAATGAAAACCTCTCTTGAGATCTTTACGTTTTGGTGGCTTTCCGCAGAATTTTACAAACCCTAAAAACTTTAACAAATTTTAACTGTGAGATTCGACGTCCACATCTTCTAATTAAAAAAAAAAATAAGAAAGAAATTAAGTTTAACAAATCAAATTATGCGAATATCTTAAAATATACTTAGTCTAGTAAACTATATGTGGATTATTGAGAAGAGTAGCAGCTGCAAAAAATGATGATGATGGTTGACATTGACATCGACAACAACAATTATACAACGTTATGATGGTCATCAATCATCATCAACGGTATTGTTGTATATATGATCGGTTATTGAACCATATATATATATGTATTATGGTCGTCAATCATCATCAACGGTATTGTTGTATATATGATCTGTTATTGAATCCTATATATTACATATCAATAGTTAACAACATTTTACTTGAAAAATATAATTAGAACTTTTGTATATTAGCATATATAGATAAGTACACATATATTTGTATTGTATATTTGGTAGTTACGACTTTGATTCTTTAAATGGTCGGATCGCTTTTGGTACGTTTGGTTGGTCGGATCGCTTTGAACGCTAAAAAGACAATTTGTCCATGTGTTACCCTAGTTTTGGAATAATTTAGTTTGTACCGTTCGAACCATTAGTGGAAACTACCTAACTACTTCTAAGTTCTAACCATTAGAGTATATATATTAAACTAATAGTATGAGATAATACTTGATATTTGAATCGATTTTACATGATATCATAGTAACGGGTATGATATTTCGTATTGTTGCTTTAAACCTATCGGTCGACCATTATACCATTATATACACATTACAAGTCTCCTTAGCCTAATACAATAAGAGAATAAGATAGATATATGAAAATATTCTCTATTTATCATAATGTCTATTGTGGACGAAGCCAAAGGTACATCATTAAATGTCAACGTATTTGAATTGATAAACCAACTAACATGCATATATAGTTTCATAATTGGTATTGGAAAATGAAAATGATACTTTATTTTCACTTCAAAGCTACAAATTAATTGTCATACCGTAACATGGGATATTATATGGCCGGTGTCTAGTGTCTCATAGGTGATGAACAAGAATCATACATTCGTATTAACATAAATGATTGTAAGTTTGCGACCATATTGATATGGCCCTAACCAATCGGTCGGAAGCTACAATAGTGTTTCCAAATCCTAAAAGGCTAAAAGGCTACAATATGGTTTCCAAATCATTTAGTTTGCGAGTTAGCTGGTAGATTCAATAGATCTGGAAAATAAAACATGTAACCAAAACATATTTGACAAAAGTTATTGATAATTGGCAAAAAAATATAATCACTGTTTAACAGATCAATTTTTAAAAAAATATAAGTGATTAGAAAAGTGGTTGAGTAGAGTTCATTTGCTGAAAAAAAATAGAAAAATAAAAATTCGAGCGTTGAAGAAAAACATCAATATAGTAGTAAAAGAAAATGGGGAAGCCAGAGGAGCAAGATCCAGTAAGAGAAGTGAAAAGAGTTTGTATTATTTTGTGTAACATCAAATGGTTATAATTTTCAGACCCACCAAAACCTACCACACTGTTACATTTATTTATCTCTCTCTTTTTTCTCTCTTGAAATTTTATATATTTACATCTCCTCTTATTTCATCTTTGTAGCCTTGTAGGTCCTTTTCTTCTTCTTCTGCATCTCCACGTGCTTTACTAATGGCCTTGTTGTATCTATTATTTACCACTCTTATTGTTACTCAAAACTTAAATGTCACTTGAATGCGAACTAAATCTTTAGGTG